GACAGGGAGAGCGGCGTGACGGCGTCCGTTTCGTGTAAGACATCTGTAGTTTTCTCTGTGTGCGGCTGCTTCTCCTGCTGTCAGGACAGCCCAGCCCGCCTGCCTGCATCTGTTGCCGCCGTCAACAGCCCTCGGCGTCTGTTTGTGGTGCCCCCGCGCTGTGATGTCACTCTGGGCCGTGCTGCCAGCTGCGCCCTTTTGGTGTTGCCAAATAGTGAATATTTGTTGCCCTGGCTCAAACCTCAGTTTGACAGCAATCAGAAACTGAAAGGCAGAAAAGGAGTGCTTTAAGATCAGTAAACATTTGCTAGATCAGGAAATGTTCCGTCGATCATTTAATTCTTACTGTTTTGCTAAATCCTGATTAATTAAAAGTGTTGTTGGTTATTCTGAATAATGGTGGTGGCAAACACTGTCTAAAACCAATGGGGCTTTTTGTTTTGTTTTGTTTTGTTTTCCTGTACATTCTCTCCCAATTGAGATTGAAAAAGGAGAAATTGTTTGGACAAACTAATTATTGACCCAAATTAACTGAATGAAATGGAATGAAAGATTTTTTTTTTTTTTCCTCCTTTCAGAACCTGCTGAAGAAGCCAGTGTCACCAAAATGTGGCCTGGAACTTCAGTAAAGCGATCACAAGGGCTTAGTCAATAACTTTGAGCGCTTCTGTAGTTCATCCTTAAAAATATTTTTATATATTATTTTAAACTGCTTTTAGAGCCTATATTATATTTGCATCTTGAAGTATGCAACTGCTACTGATTGTTGTATTACATTATTTCTTAATTGCATAACAATTGCATTATCAATAGCTGGTTTGACTCTAATAGATTTGTGATTCCTTAGTTCTTATTCTTCCTTCTGTTGACCTTCATGACTAGCCCTTGATCAGTCAGTAGTATTGGAAAGAAACAGATAGTTGGAGATGATAAAGTTTACACATTTAAAGAGTTACAGTTAGTCAGGTAGTCAGCTGTGCATGCTCTTAGCCAGCTGTAGGTAAAGCATGCTTGTTGTTTGAACCAGTTTATGCATGATTGTCTTTTTGATTTCCTTCTTACAGAAGTGATTGGGGGTTGGAGTGGTAAATTCACCAATATTAAGCCTAAATTGGGAAGTCAAAAAGTTTTGTTTAAAATTGTGCTACTGATTAAATGCTGTTACAGTACTGGAAAGGTGCAGCTTTATTGTAGGAGTGCACTTCCCATCTCAGCTGACCGCATTTAAAAGCTTGCTGTACAGAAAAAAAAATCTAGCATCTTTCTTTTTCTTCTCTTGCTGCTCACTGTGCAGTTATGTGGCCCTGTGTCTGCCACGGTTCCCCGTTTTTCGTTGTGTGTACCATTTTCTCCTTTGTGGGGTAATATTTTTTTCTTCCAGGTGGGTGAGCTGAATCAGTGTGGATCAGAGGCTGCTTAAGATGTTGATTTTTTTTTTTATTATTATTTTTTTGGGGGGTGGGGGTGGTGAAGTTTGTTATTGACAGAAAAAAAAGGAACATTTTAACATATCGAAACTGTAGTACAGAAAAACAAGTCTTAATTGTAAAGCATTAGTGTTGATCAATCAAGTAGCACTGTAAAATTACAAGTTCCTCTTATTATGCTAGAGTTCCTCCTTACTTTTGTTTTTAGTTATGTGCTAGAAGTTTTGCAGCTGTTCTGAAATAAACTGATAGAGGTAAAATACTTGAAATTACTACTACTATCTTCACTATTTTTGCATACAATGGTAGGGGTAATAGTCCTTTTAATGAAGGCATAACATGTCAATTGTGGGGCTGCTGTGCTTTTTAAACCCTTGATGTTCCTGTCACATTGAAATACAGAACGTAGTTTCATAGAATCACAGAAGGGCCGAGGTGGGAAGGGACCTCTGGGGATGACCCAGTCCAACACCCTGCTCGAGCAGGGTTACCCACAGCAGGTCACTCAGGACTGTGTGCAGTTGGGGTTTGAGTATCTCTTAAGTGTGGAGACTCCACAACCTCACTGGGCAACCTGTGCAACCTTTTGACCACGAGCACAACAATTGTTGGGTCTTGTTTGTTTGGGGTTTTTTAATGTTTAAGTGGAACTTCTTGTATTTCAGGTTTTCCCATGTCTTATGCCTGAACAATACCAGAAAACACTCTTAATACGTACTGTATGTCTTCATTACAGATGGTATTAATAAGCTCATTTTCTGATGGTTTTATTGTGTTGGGGGGGGGGTTTGTGTGGTTGGTTTTGTGGTTTGGTTTTTTTTTTGGTTGGTGATGGTTTTTTTTGTAGAGTAAGTTCTTCATGTGGTTATTTTTCAGAAGGTTTTCTGAGAGTGGCACTGATATAAGTCTGAGGATTAACCATACTCAAATATTCCAGATGACAGTGAAGACTTCCGGAAGCTAGCAGAAAGGGAGATTGCCTCCTGTGAAGAAGAGATAGCTGACCTGAAACACCAGGTTAGATCCCCTTTAAAAGCCTCTATTTCCTTGCCATTCTTAAATTAACAAAACCAAATTGTCTTCTCATCAAAATAACATGTATACAATAGTCTTCTCCTCCTCCTCCTCTCCCTGACAATTATACTTTTCAACTAGTGACTGTTATCTAAGGAAGATGAAAAATGCAGATGGTATAGAGACAGCCTGTAAGTGCGTGCCCACTTGTATCTGAAATTGTTTGAGTCAATATATCTTAATAAGTAGGTGCTATAGGTGTCTTGTCTGGTTGTACCTCCACAGGTGTCCAACTTTTTATCTATTGGGACCATTAAAGTTGTATAGTATCACACACACTAGTGGTTTTGAAAAGAATAATTAATACTATGTAGCTGCTTTAGACTGCTACCTTACGTAAGTTCTACTTAGTGTCTGTGTTATTTGACATACAAGTAATGATCTTTAGATAAACAAACTGTTACATATTAATGTTGCTGGTGAAGTAGAAGCTGATATTGTTGCGTTCTTTATTCCTTAGACAACAATACAACAGTCACTTTATAAATATTTTTGAAAATACTTACAATTTTGCCAAAAGAAGATGTCTGTGGAAAGAAACATCACCTAAGACTAGTAAAGGGCGTGGTTGAAAAGCATTTGCAACCCATCCAGAGTTTTGATCCAGCCTGCAAAATTGTGATATGTTTTTTTAGTTCTAGTGTCTTTCTTCTACAGGATCACAGCACTGCAGGGGTTGGAAGGGACCTCTGGAGATCACCTAGTCCAACCCCCTGCTTAAGCAGGTTCACCTACAGCAGGTCGCACAGGACCACATCCAGGCGGGTTTTGAATGTCTCTAGGGAAGGCGACTCCACAGCCTCCCTGGGCAGCCTGTTGCGGTGCTCTGTCACCTCAATGTAAAGAAGTTTTTCCTCATGTTCAGGTGGAACTTCCTGTGCTCCAGTTTGTGCCTGTTGCCCCTTGTCCTGTCGCTGGGCACCACTGAAAAGAGCCTGGCCCCATCCTCTTGACACCTGCCCTTGAGATGTCTGGAAGCGTTGACGCGGCCCCCTCTCGGCCTTCTCTTCTCCGGGCTAAACAGCCCCAGGTCTCTCAGCCTTGCCTCGCAGGAGAGATGCTCCAGTCCCCTCATCATCTCTGTAGCCCTCCACTGGACTCTCTCTAATATGTCCCTGTCCCTCCTGAACTGGGGGCCCCAGAACTGGGTACAGATCAATATAAGGCTGGTTCTCCCTTTTTAAATAAATAAATGAATAATACAGCTGAGTTGTTGTTGAAGGACTTTCCTGAACATCTGTACCTTCTTAGCTCTGCAGTTGAGGCCAGGTTAAAAGGGAATCTGATGGGAAGGGAGGAGCTCAGTTGTCTTGCAAGAAACAATGTGTATCCTGTGGTTTCTACATGTTGCAATGCTCCTGATAGGTGAAAACTTCACATGTAAAGTTCTGTAGGTCTTCGGAGAGACCTATGGTGCAAAGCAATGAGTTAGTGCAGGAGAACACAGCCTAGATCGATTTCAGGCCTCTCTGGCATTTTACACTATCTCTGTTGTGGATAGTGTCAGAGGGAAGTCTTAGCTGAGTGTTTTTGTATTTGCAGATAGTGTTGCTTTTGATTCCTTCAGAAGAAACAGACAAGAGTGATCTTGTCATGGAAGTAACAGCTGGAGTTGGAGGGCAGGAAGCCATGCTGTTCACCTCGGAGATATTTGATATGTATCAACGATATGCTACCTATAAAAAGTGGAAATTTGAAGTATTAGAATACTTTCCCAGTGAAATAGGTCAGTGATGAAAATACTTAATCTTTGTAACTTTTAATTTAAGTTGAAACACTTATTCATATGACACTTGAATTTTCTGACTACAGGAAGCTAATTTGCACTAACTTAATTTTAAAGTGGAAGATTGTTTGAATGTCAAGAGTACAATTTTCCTCAGCTTCTGTATTTGAGAATGAAATTCCATTTCAGAAGTACTATTGAAATACTAAAGTGCTAAAAAATAAACCTTGTCTTTCAGTAGGTTCAAAAAGTGGAAATGAAACTAAGTGCTTGGCAGAAGAAAATTCAGAAAGTAATTCAGATACGTTGTTTTAGCTTTATTTTTTTACAAATACAGATTACATATGCTTTTTATTTGCATATGCTGTTCTACTTAGTGACTTAATGTTTCTAGTGTTTATAGATCAGTTTGGTGGCAGGTTGAAAGTCTGTTTATTATTATGGATCCCTTGGCAGAGAGGGATCACTATAATTAAAACTGTTCTTCAGGTTTAATCTAAAATGTCCTGAGTTTATATGAAATAATGTCATCTGAGGATTTATATAAGGAAATCAGATGTTTGGATATAGCTCATCTGTCACAGCTAATGGATGAGCAAAGTAGGGGAGTTGTTGAGACTTTGAGAGGAGAGATAAGAGATCTAATTATTTATGAAAGTCTTCAACTAAAATTTCACAGAAACAGAGATGTTTCTTCTTTCTCCTCTCTCCCTTACTGCCTCTCTGCCTGAGCAGTCCTAACTTTTTTCTTTTTGGTCTGTTTTGATGTCCTTTCGCTTAAACTGGCAAAGACTTTGCTTTTTACAACTGGGATAGTTTTTTGCATAGTTAATGTGTTAAGTCAGTTCTCATGAGCCTCAGAGCTAGTATAAGCTAAGCAGGAACATGGGGCTGAATGCAAGGAGGTGGAAAAACTGAATCTTCTGGTGATGATGAGCTGTGAAGGTGGTTCACTGGATCTCATGGAACAGTGTCTTTGCAAAGCTGGGGGTTGGTAGGTTTGCACAACAAATTGAGGCAGTGTCACATGTTAGTTAAAATTAACTTAATCCAGTTAGTATGTAAATTGTTTCACAAAGATCAGGCTGCTGTCTCTGTGTTGCTGCATTGCTGCTGACTTTTGCATTAGCACTTGTGGTCGTGCATCTTCGCAGTCTCATCACCAACTGAAAAAAGCACAAAAAATACCCTGATTACTTTTCAGGTAGTCCAGCACAAAAGAGGAGAAAAGCTTATGGGCGCAGTGGAGGCAGAATTGTGTGGCTACTGATGGTGGCAGTCAGAAAATTAGGACCTCCTTCCAGCAGCAAGAGGTTCAGTTAGTTTAAGCCAACTGTGGAACCACCATCCAAATCATGCCCAGACAGTGGCAGGGATTTGGGGGTTTGATTGACAGATTGCTAGCCATCTTTCTTAGCAGGCTAGATTTGCTAAGTCTGTCTTTGATGACAGATCTGCAAGCTTAAGGTTTTCCATGGATCTGTTAACAAATGCTGTTGTGAGTGAAGCTAGCACATTTTGCTTGCTTACATATTCCTGTGGAGGCAACGTATATATCTCAGTGGGTATGGACCAGTAGGTGGGCATTTGTGCAGCTTACTGCTCCTAGCTCAGATTGGTTGTGAAACTTCACCTGTATTCATACTTTCATCAACATTTTTTTTCTTTCAGTGAAACTTTGAAGAAGAAATGAGTAAAGCTAGGATATTAGGATATGCAATCTGTCAGAAAAACTCCAAGTATTTTTTTCAGTCAACACTTAATATGATTGCAGAGAGATTTTTAGCAAGCTTTGAGAAATGTGAAGCATCTTCTAACACCTCTTCACATACTTACACCATATTGTGGCTTCAATGGTATTTTCAAGTATCTTGAATGCTTTCTGTTTCAACTGTGTAGAAATTCACAAAAAAATAAATATCCACAACTCTCCTAATTGAGCTTCTCATGTCAGTGAGCTACTTTTCCCTTCTAATGAGGGTCTTTCAGTGCCCTAAAACCCTTCTTGCATAAGTACAGTTTTTGATTCACTGTTATATACTGAGGATTAAAAGAAGGTTTAAAAATTGAACTCCATGGAAGAAATACAGTTGGACATCACAAACTGAGAACCTGAAAATCTAGGTACAGTCTTGATTTGTTGTCTGTATTCTAGCTTCAAAAAAGGGATGCCCATGTCTTCACCTTTCAGATACACATATACAGTTTAACTTACTATGGATTTCACTTGCACTTCTGAGTTCTTAAAATGTTTAATAGAATTTGATTTTAAGAAGTGTCACATGTGTAAAACATTCGAATAACTTTCTTTTCAGTTCTTAGCAGGTGACTTAAGTTGATGAACATGAATATAGCATCAGAATCTTCTAGAGTGGCTGATGTCAATACAATTAATAAACATTTTTTTAATTTGATGACACTCAAATTCAGTATTGTCTATTATCTAGATTTGTTAGTATTAATACAGTTTTTGCTATGGTCGAGGTCATTTGTCAAGTAAACTGTTTGCACAGTTCGAAAGAAGGTAGAGACAAGAAGAAGCTTCATGTTACAGCGCAGCTTGTTGCTGAAAGAGGAAAGTCGTGTTTAACCCCATTAATGACCAGGCAAATGCTTTGCCAGGAGCTGAGCCAGTTCACCCTTCAAAGCTGACAGAAATCTATTTTATTTTTTCTAAGTAAATGGAATAAACATGATGCAGGTTAGATGGGTGTAAACAGAATGGAGGAAGGAAGGATCTGGATCTTATTTCATATACTAGGGGGAGAGGAGAGTTGCCTTTTCCATTGAGGCAAGACTTAGATGGGGTAAACCCCATCAGTCAGATATAGCTTCACCTTCAGAGCACAGTTTCACAGTCAGCTTCAACAAGGGCTGTCCCACCTTCCAGCCAGCTGCTAACTGTATATTTCTTCTCTCTCAGCTCTAGCAGTTTTGAGGCCAGAGTGCTAATTGGATCAATCCACTGATTTGGCTTAAAAACTCTTTTATTGGATAGCTTTAAGTCAGATCTGACTCAACTTGCAGTCCTGTGATTGGAAGAGAAAGTGAGTTATGCTTGACCACCCTTTGGGTGAAAGCGCAGTCCTTGGACAAGGAGCCCACACCCTCAGAGGCATTCTCTTTAATGCCTTAAATGAGAAATTGAACCTAGTGTATATCTAGCCATATTATCCCTTTGAAACTGATAAGCTTTTAATGGCTGTATATTTATTTTAAAATCTTTTGTCTTGTTGAGGACTGAAATGAATGTGTAGGAAGGTAGGATGTAAATTTAGGGAAAAATAAAGGCAGCTCTGGCCTTTGTCAGCCTCTTGCAGTGTATTTTCTGATATCACTTGTGTGACCATATGTTATCAAAACTGAGGAGCTAAAAATAAATTGGGAGATAGGGGTACTATAAATGGCACTGCCACTGAAAGGTGTGTTTGAACCCTCAGGTTAAGGATTGAGTTAAGGATGCTTGCTGGCGACACTAGGCTGTTGCATCCCATCCATTTTTCTGGACTGCATGAGCAAAAGCAAGGTCCTACATTAAAATGTCAAACTCCCTCATTTCAGAGAGCTCCAGAATTTGGCTGAAATCTGAATGTGAGCGTGTGTGAGCAAGGTGAATGTTGAACACAGTTGTAATTAAGTATTAGTTTCAGTCCACTCTTAACTGACTTACTGACCTTCCCCAAGCGATGCTGCTGTGCTAAAATGGCACGTGCAAGATTTAGCACACACATTAAAGTGCAAACCCAGGTGTTGTTATTTATCCACTGCCTTTCACATTGTGAAATGTAATGGCAGGCAGGGACGCAGGTATGAGACTTTGTCTCAATCTGGATATAAGATGCCATATTAAAAAAAAACGTGTAAACTCACACCCTTGTTCTGTGCACATCAGCTTTCAGTATAGAGAGGGACATTTTAATCGAAAGGGGTAAGCATATAGTTAGTAAGAGCTAACTGTATTTGACAGGCCTACAACATGGCTGCCAGGGTAAAGGGTTTGTTGAAATTTTGTTGGATTTGTCTGCATTTTATGTTAAACCTGTGTTGGTAATAGTTGATTTGAAGCAGTATGACCTAAATACCTGTCTTTTGAACAAGTTTCTTGGTCATCTCATGCTAAGGTGCCACAGGTACACTGTTACCACTACAATCTTAAATTCTCCTGAACCTGTCTCAGATGTGGATGTAGCTGAAATAGACAGACTGTACCTGTGGTGTATATATATTAATGCCAGGAGAAGTGAAGGAGAAAAGACAGAACATTAGCTTTTGCAATGAACAGCTTATCACGTAATTAAGACTTGTCAGTAGTGCTGTAGCCTTGTGGACTTTCACATTACTTTTACTCCTGACGTAGCATGGCTGCTTCTTCGTGTGCAGAGGTTGCTTAGGATTTTTTTAGTTCTTGCTTTCATATGTAAAGGAGTAAGTAATTTTTATTATTCCACTATGTTAATTATTTTAGGTTATATGAGGTTCTTGCAGTGTAAAGAAGCAATCTTTTGTTCGTTTGAGTAGCGTCTGCTTAGCAGTGGAAAGATATCACACTTCCTCTTGGAATGAAAGTTGCTCATGTAAACAGAAGATTTTGACAGATACTCTTATTTGTTAAACTATGTGCTTCATGATCAGATTTATTCTAAACATGATGTTTTTGTCTTACAGAACTGATAGTAGATAATGGCTATAAATTAAATCAGTGAAGCGCTAGGTATGTTGAACAGTGCATTTGAATCAAAGCGGTATGGATTTGTACAAGTAGGGGAAAAATATAAAAGTCAGAGGGACAAAAATGAGGTGAAAGAGAAAGGAAGAGGCAGTTTAGGCTATTTTCCACAAACATGACTGTAGAAGGAACTATGTTTAGTGAAGTTAAGAGAGAATGTTAAATTTCTGTAGAATAAAAACATTTTCAAGCCTTCTCTGTGGAGATGAAAAACGTGGCCTATGTTCTGGCTGATGATTTTTTCCTGCTCTGCGGGACATTTTCAGATTCTATGTTATCTTCATTTTCCTTTTTTAAAAAGCTGCTATCTTGTCCCTATGGTTGATTTCCTTAGTCTAGAGATAGCCTAAAACAGTATTTCTGAGAAGTATGTGCCTCTTTTCCTTGGCCATGGTTTCATGTTGCAAGACTTCCAACAGCAATACTCTTTCAAGGCTGCCTATCTCCTCTTTAATCATTCCCTTGGCACACCATCCACTGTGCTGAGAACGGGATCTGGGAACTGAGCTGGATTAAAAACCAAAATGGGTGAAAGATACGTTAATTTATAATGCCATCACTTCTCTGATCCTTCAAACAGTTACACTGGCACGATTGAAGGGTTTACACATTAGCAAACAACAAAGAACAAGAACTAGTATTGCAGCAAACTCGTTCTGTCACAAAACCATGATTGTGTTTGCCTTTACTTCCAAGTTCCAAGCTGTTCAGTGCTAGTTTTCAGTACGTTGCTATCAAGTGTTTTGCTGGATGTATTGGTAAGAGGGGCTGGAGCTGGAGTTCTGCTCCCTCCAAGGGAGCAAAATACTAAAATGAAGTGAAAGAGCAAAGATGACAGGGAGGATGCATAGAGGAGAATGGATAAGAAAAAGAATATGAATAATACTCATCCTTTAAAGAGTTAGGTTTTTTTTCCCATTGAATGATAAGTTTCTGAACTAGCAATAAAAAAATTGATGTAGTTTCTGAAGGTGGCTTTCAAAATTTCATCTTTATGTAAACTTAGTACTGGTGTTAGAGTTCTACTATGGTTTATGATTGTATGTGTACATGTACGTACATGTTTTGTAGACAATTGGTTTATGTATATAAAAAAATAAATTAGACTATAAAAAAGAATTTGACAGTCCTTTAGATAGTGTCTGAGTATGTATGTCTGACTGTTACTGGGAGTTTTCTTGCATTTTCAGTATAATTATTTAAATTGTGAATAAGTATATATAAGTGTATATATTTAAGTATTTAAATAGTAAATTCATAATTTTAAGAAACAAATTGCAATGATGTGTAAATACACTGTTTGAAATATAACAGCATACTACCAACAGTTTTTCTTACAGCTTTACAACTGTTTTTCTGCTGTGTTTAAGGTGGCCTGAGACGTGCAGTTGCCAGTATAGCAGGTTTTGAGGCTTACAAGTACATGAAATTTGAAGGAGGAGTGCATCGTGTTCAGCGGGTGCCAAAGACAGAAAAACAAGGACGCATTCACACCAGCACAATGACTGTTGCAATATTACCCCAACCCACTGAGGTAATATTTATCTTTCAGTATAACAGACTTTACCATGAGCGATGTTTTTATGTGCCATATTGCTGTTACCCAAGTGTTTTCTGTCTCTCTTGTTATTCTCTCTACCGATTTTTTAAAAAAATCTTAGTTTTAAACTAAGTCGTATTTTTTTTGTTTATTTTTGTCTAGGGGGTGAAATAAAGAATTTCTGGATTTCCTCATAATCCTAATCTCAAGAAAGTTACTGGCAGTTCACTGTAACTTGAAAATTCGGTGCCTGTGTTTTGCATGTTTTGTGGAAAACTTCAGATTTTTTACAAAGTAACAAAAGACTGAATTAGTGTACAGAGCTCATAGGGATTTCTTTTAGCACCTCCTCTTCCCCATTTTTGTAGTATCCTCACTTTCCCCTTCCGAAGTGTATGGGTGATAATTCATTCGCACCTTATTTGCTTGGTTAAAACCAGCTGGCTAAGAATTAAAGCTTTGCTTTTATGTTTCATGTTGACCTAGCAAATTGTCAAAGGTGTTACTCCTTCCTGTTCTCTCCTGAAGTTGTCTTGCTCATTCCTCCAGAGACCATCACCCCATTCCAGAGCCAGCAAAGGGTCTGTGTTCCGCTTAACCTAAAAACCATCTGATCAAGTTCAAATATTGGTTAACTCTGTTGGAAGAGGGTGCAGAGCTTTCAGAAGAGGGGGAAGATTAGTGCTAAGGGATGGTTACACCTTAAGCTATTTGTCTGATTTCCTGGCTTCCGTCATGTCTCGTTCTAATCTGGCTACAAGGATTTGTTAGTATGTTTATAAATGGATGCCAGCTACCACTCATAAACTTTAAAAAGTTTGATCTTGCCTGAGTGTGCCTTGTAAAATAAATCAACTATGCATATTTGACATGTCTAGAAGGAAACAACGTAAAAAATGTGTTCTTTTTTTTTTTCTTTTTTTTTTTTTTTTCTGTCTCCCCTGACAGATGAGGCTGCAGATTAATCCGAAAGACCTAAGGATAGAAACAAAGCGAGCTAGTGGAGCTGGAGGCCAGCATGTCAATACCACAGACAGTGCTGTACGGATAGTTCATATTCCAACAGGTGCTTCATTTTTTCCTTAGTACAAGTTCTACATTGCAAAACTGCTGTCAGAATTTCTTTTGAAACAATGGTTTTATTTTCAAACCTGGACAACAGTAGAGCAGAGTTTTCATACAGTGTTTATAGTACTCCAAATGCACCATCTTGTGCCCACTCCAGTTTGTAATAGTGAAGACTACTGGCTTCAGTAGGTAAACTGACCATTTTGCAATTAAGCATGACACTTAAAGAGCGTCCAGATCAGTTTCTATGAAAAAGTTATATTTAAGCTTTCAAATAATGGAAAAGAAACTGAAAAACAGAGTAGGTTAAAATCTGATGATTTGCCTTTTCTTGACTAGTCTCCAAAAGAGACATTGCTCTATTTCCGTATTAAAATGTGGCTTTTAGTTGCAGAGTCCACTCAGGATGCCAGCTTCCATTTGTCTGCTGGCTCTCTTCCTGTAAATTACCCACATAATTAGGAGGGCTCAGGTTAGGAAACGTAGGAGGGATAAGATACACCCTCAAATGCTACCTGATTTTAGCTATTGTATCTGGGGTTTTTTATTGCCATTCCTAAGCTTTTTACTTCCCTTTGAGCAATCCCCAACAGCTGCCTTGACTTTCATTGCTTTTTAACTTTTCCTCTTCTCTACCACAAACATTAGTCAGGCTTTACAGCCTCAGGGTAATCCCAAGTGCTCTTTATCTTCATGTATCCAGATTTTTGCCACCCATTTCTTCATACTTATTGAAGACATTAATCCATTCTGCACTTGTTGCACCACCTCAGTAAAGCAGAAGGTAAACAGTGGAGAGGATAGAATTCTGTTCAAGATACGGTGACAGAAAGCTACACCAGATTCAAAAAGTTCTGGATTGCCTGTGTGTTTGGGAAAAAACCCCACAAACTGAAACCAGCCAATGATCTTAGTTTGTGCAGAAGGCAGTTATTAGGGTTTGTTATAGCAATCTTAAAATGTATTGCAAATTTTTTGTGTGGTTATACACTAGAGATGGGTCATAGGGGGTTTATATCTCACCTTATCTCCTGACTTTTTCCTATTCCACCTTTCCCTTCTTTATTCCTCTTGATCTCTCTTCCTTTCTTCTATTTCTCTCATCCTAACTCTTTTTATAAACCTTCATTACAATCCAGAAAGTTGTTTGTAAGCAAGTCTTTCATAAAGTAATACTATGTAAGCTTATAAAACCATACTGTAACCTTACCAGTTACTTAAAATAAATCCAAACAAAAATTTAGCTTGTGCTGTCTTCTTCCTGTATTTCTTCTCCCCACTCCTTTCTTAGGCTGTTCACTTCATCTTAACTTGAATTGTATGTTTTGGGGAGAGAAACCACACCTTTTTTAAAGAAAATAGTGCCTGCTTTTGTATATGCTGATCATGTTCTATATACTCACTATCTCATGTATTTTACTGCTCCTTTAAATCTTAAATTTCCTGGAACCGTGGCCAAAAAATACACGTATTAAAGGTGTGTTCTGCAAGTCAGATCACATTTCATTATCTTTTATTTCATTATCTACCTGTTGTCCAACATATCCAATTAAATTTCTTGTTTTATGGCTTAAAGCACCTGTACAACTCAGCCCGCACTTCTCTCCCAAAATACACCATTAGACTTTTACATTCCCAGTCCAATATGTGTACTGAAGAAAGAAACAGCTTATTGTAACGTGATAAAAATCTTCTAGAAATTGCAAAACGCTTGTAGTATGTGTTACTGTTAAGTATTAAATGTCATGATATTTTCGGCAGGGATCGTGTCTGAATGTCAGCAAGAAAGATCTCAAATTAGAAACAAAGAGAAGGCTATGCAAATGCTGTGTGCTAAACTATACAACGCCAAACTGGAAGAAGAAACCAAAAAGAGAAATAGTGTTCGAAAGATTCAAGTAAGTTTCACTCAGTAAAGATACAGTTCTGTTCCAACATGTGTTCTTGGGGTAACTCCTGTGTTGAACTGCAAATACTAAATGGAAATATAGAGGAACAGGAGCCCAGGAAGGGGCAAAAAAATTACATTCTGCTTCAGCGATAAAGGTCGTATATTAGCCAGACTTGAAATTTCAGTAGTATGTAAATTCTAGAGATCTAGTGAAACAAACTGGATTACAGCATGAAGAACTAGAATAGTATTAGGAAAAGATACAGTAAAATTGTTCTTTTACTGTAACTGCTGAACTGGTCTGAGTACTATGGAACTGTAACAAATTTTGGATCATTATAGGAGGAGGAGAAAGCTTTTGCTTTAAATAGTTAATCAGTATTTCATCCTTTTTATCAAAAGACGATGATGATAAACTGATTCTTCTTGTTTGATAGATTGGGACTAAAGGAAGATCAGAGAAGATCAGAACATACAACTTTCCACAGGACCGAATTACTGACCACAGGATAAGCAGATCAGTGCATCATATTGAGTGTTTCATGCTAGGGGAAGAAATGCTAGATGAAATGGTGCAAACTCTGAGAGAATATGCTGACTATGAGTCTTTAATGGAAATTATTTCAGAAAATGAAAAAAAGAATCTGTCCTGAACATTGCTCTTTGTCAGCCCGTACAACAGATTTAGACATTTGCGTGCAGAGGAGCTTCTTGGAGCACCACCCAGAAAATGCAGCTGCTTTTCAAATCATGAAAGGCACCACAACTTGTTTCCTCATGACTGATAAACAGTTTTCTTACTTGCTGAGTAAAAGACTTTATTACCTTCACATGAGACATTATGGCTGCAGCAGTCCACTTAAAAAGTATTATTTGACTGGGCCAGAAGTAACTGCAGTTTTTAACTTTCTCCACTGAGAAGATACTGATACACCACTCTTGAAAGGTGTGCATTAAAAAATGAGCTATTTCTAGTTCCAGTTTTCATTTAAACAATAGTTTAAATGTCCGCACAGTGTCAAATAGCTTACTTGAGAGAACAAAAAAATCCTATTTTGTTTCAGTGACTGGAAGAAAGTGATAAATAAATGACCCTACTTCTAATCTGCATATTTGTTAATCACTTATACATGGCATGGAGGAGTCAAAGTGTTTCTCTGTCATGGCCTTCTGGCCCTTATTAATCAACACAAAAAAATATCCCTTGTTACAAAAAAAAAAAAGTTGTAGAAGCCAAGCGACAAGTTACATGAATTGTTCTTGAAAATGATGTTTTTGTTCTTGAGTCAAAAGTTAAAAGGGATCATTACAATATTGATACTTCAGTCTCCATTTGGCTTCAGTTCAGTTTCTTCTTCACGTTTTTAATTGACTCTCCAGTTTATTGATTTCCAAACATTACATGGTATGAATGGCATCGTAGTGTTTTTGTCTATTTATTTAACAGCATCTTAAAACATTTGATCTGTGAAAGCAAAGTAAAACTTTTGCCTTTCTAATCTACTGATATATATGTGTGCATGTTTGTATCTGTGGGTAAAGAAGACTTTTAACCTTTCTTTTAGACTACATTTTACAATCCCAAATACATACAGCAATACAAACGCTGCCGGTTCCGCGCCACCTTATCCCATCATCCATTGTACCTATGCATGTGTGTATACACATGCAGAATGTATTTGAAATATAAATACTAGTAAATAAGAAACTGGAACCTAAGGAAAAATGTTACCATGGATATAGGGATGTTTACTTTCAAACTTCTAATAAAAATTAGTGTAAGAAATTAGAATAGAAACAAAGTAAGTTTGCTACAAATAGCTTATAGAAATGCATTATTTAAACATCCTATGTAAAAATCAACTGATTATTATCAGTTTATCATCTTCTTTTATTCCATTTGAGACTGCAGCTTGAACCAATGTATGTGGAAAAAATGCATAGAATCATTTAATGCCTTCGTCAGCTTTTTTTCGTAGGAAATACTGCATGGTAACTACGATTAAGTTCCAAATCTTTTAATTAAGGATGCATACATTAACTTCAGATGTAGGAGTGCCTGTATGCATAAGGCAAAGCATGCATATTTCTTGTTGTCGGTAAGCATGAGACCTAGGTCTGCATTTACTAGCAGATTTACAACGCCCAACTGGCACATGAAAAAGTAAAAATTAACGTTGATGCATTCTGTGTGTAAAATAATTAGATATTGATTGAAGCAGAAGCTAGGGCTGAAGGCTTTATTCCTAGCAGATCAGTACTGTAAACACTTGTACAGAGCACTTGTGACAATCGTCTTGACTTCACTTAAAGCCAGGCCATCTGGTACCAAGTGATGTGTGGAGTTTGCGATTCCTTTTCTCTAGCTTCAGCTTTGTATTCCTCCAAACAAATAAGGGCCATCAACCAGGTCTAAGCACAGGACTACTGCATGAAGCCCTTGTAAGCGTTCAGGCCTTTGTCACCCTAGACCTCCCCTGATGTTTGAGCTGGCAGCCTGGCTGGCCAGATCCTGCCTGGCCCTCAGTGTCCGCGTTCTTGGCTGGCTCCGGAACAGGCACTCGGTGTGGTGCTGCCTTGCAAGTGGCCGGCCCCTGACCAGTTGTGAGAACAGGCAGCTACCGTGTGGTTCTGGCAGGAGGCTGACAGAGGCATCCCAAAACTGGCAATCCGACAGAGTCATACAAGGTGGGCTTCTCTACCTTGAGTGGCACCTCCTTGGCCCATCATGGCGAGCTACTGCGTAAAGGCTCTCTTGCTCCGCATTAATTTCAGTGCCGGGTCTGTTGTCTCGCTTAAAGGGCAGCCTCCCTGAGCTGTGAGGAGATGGTGTTTTCGGCAGCGGCGGGATACCCGCACGGGTGCCCGGTCTGCAGAGCTCCCAGTAGCACCGCTCCTCGCTCTGCCAACTAGTGACGACGTTGATCGTACTGTAAAATAAAATAAATACACGTCTTCCCCGGAGGCGGGGGGAAGCCAGGTGTCAGCTCCGCCGCCAGGCTCCACAAATCCTTCCCCGGCAGAGGGGCTTTGGAGCGGGTGCTGGGAGCGTGCGAGGACGATGGGACCCTCCCCGGCGCAGCCGTTTACAAAAGCAAACGCACTGGAGTGGGGCGCCAGGCAGCGCTTTGACGTGTGTCACGTCACCCCGGTGGCGCGGAAGCCGGCTGCCCTTGCAGGGGGGGGCGCC